GTTTACTTGATTCATGTGCATTGAGCTGTATGTATTTTAAATAATCTAAAATGAATGGGATGGCAGCCCTGATGTCCTCTCCAAAATATTTTATATGAATTTATATTTTTATGACTGCGCTGTTTCATTCACACATGTTAACATTTTGAGAACCAAGGTGTAACAGCAAGATGACAAACCCCTGTTCCAAATAGGGCATAATGTGGCAGCCTGAGAGACACAATTATTGTATGCCATGTAATGATTTATAACTGTTGTATATCTTAATTGCTTTCCAGATTTCTGCTCTACAGAATTGATTTACCACAGGCTAGAATTGGGGCTGACTCAAGGGCAGCTAACAACAACAACAACAACAACAACAAACTGGTAGCTCATCAAAAGTCTTAGCATCAGGACTGTGGAGTCGGAGTCAGAACCAGAAGCAATTATGGGTGGAGGCTGAGTTTAGAAATAAAATAAAAAATAAACATTTATATTAAATCCCTAGTTTGTTGCATATTGACTTTCATAGGCATTTGGGAAAGTTTTCTTGTTTAGAGATTTTAATCAATCTACCAGAAGTAGCGTGATGCTGCACATAGTGGTGAAGAACTGCATTTGCCACCATCTTACTACAGGAAATTTGTTATTACTAATTAATATACCTGACGTTGATTTCTAAACAAAGGGATTTTAAGAAGGTGTTGTACTGTTTTACTTGCATTCTTTTAAAGGCTGTTTGTAATCATTTTTAATTGTATGTTATACATTCTTAGCATTGTTAATTGTTTAATTCTATTTTAATGTTGATCTACTGTATCTTTTAATTATACCGTATTTATTTCAATTTGTATGCCACCTTGAATCCTGATTTGGGGGAAAAGGCAGGGTAATAATACCCTGGCATAGTGGTTTGAGTGTTGGACTACAATTCTGGAGGCTAGAATTTGATTCCCAGCTTGGACATGAAACCCATTGGGTGACCTTGGGCAAGTCACATACTCTCAGCCTCAGGGGAAGGCAATGGCAAACCTGCTCTGAAAAATCTTGCCAAGAAAACCCCATGATAGGGTCACCATAAGTCGGAAACGACTTGAAGGCACACAATGTACACATAATAATGATGAGAGGAAGAGGATGAAGCAGCAGCAGCAGCATTGTACAGCATGAGTAGGCAGTCCTGAGTAGCTGCCTTTTTGTGGAATCCTGGAGTTTGTAGTTTGTAGTCTGCCTGAGTTTTCTTAAAAACAACAACATCTCCTTAAACTGCAAATCCCAGAATTCCATAGAATGGAAATAAGGCTGTTAAGGTGGAAACATATTTACTGTGAAAGGGCTCCAGGTCAATATTTTATGTTAATTGTGAAAAACATGCTGTGATGCTATGTCTCATTATGCAATTTCCTGTGTGGTCCTCAGGGCTGAACAAAGATTACTTAGGAGTTTATCACATGGAGGCAAACTTTGCAGGTTATTTCTACTTCTGTTCGGGTTAACCCCCAACATCGTGTGAAAAATAACCCACTTTTGCAGGTTGTTTTCACTTTGAATCCAGTTTCTGCACAAGATCCATCCTGCGTGATAAACTCCTTACTACCATACTGCTTTATGGCTCAAGAAATAGCCTACCAAAATATACTAAAAGGCTCCCATGGGTAAAGTATTTGAATCAGAATTTTCTTATTCCATAACTAAGCAAAGGTAGACACCAATCCTACTGTTGAGAAGTGAAGACATTTTAAAAAGTTCATCCAAAGATACAATGATACAAAACATATTTATAATACACCATCAGTACAACAATTACTCATTTGATCAAAATAAAATTTAAAAATATTGTTATAAAAACAATTAACAAAAAGTCTTGCAAATGAAATCACAAAGCTTTCTGCAAATATCACACTATGATACAGAAAACAACAGAGTACTTGAGCATAAGCTAGCCTGAAAACCAGAGCCTAGAAAAGTTACTTTTTGGATTACAGCTCCCAGAATTCCCTAGCCAGCATAGCATGCAATTCCTGGAATTACAGTCTAAAAAAGTAACTTTTCTGAGCTATGCAAATACACTTGTTGATCTCTGTCTACGGAGCAGTAGCAAGGCCTAACCTTCTGAAGACTGCCTTGTATAACCATACATTTGGGAAACTGACTTTACTTAGTAAAGTTAGCATTTTGCTATACCCAGTCCTAACCCTCAAAGACAGTGGAAAAGTCTGAATAAATAGAAGTATCAGCCATGATGAAACTGTAGCTTCCTAACTATTTTTTCTTGAAACAGGACAGAATTAATTGCATTCATTCTGTGTTAGGTATGCTGATCATGCATATATAGATGACAGCAGCAAAATGTGGACATTGAAGATAGAGCAGCTGGGCAAAGATGAAGGCAAATGCATAGTGACATGAGTACTGGATGTAGCTTAATAGTCCTAGCTGTGCTAAAAATATGGGGAAAAGCTAAAGGAGAAACGTGTGCTTCAGGCATAGTTCAAGTAAACGTGGACAAAGATAATTCCTTCTCCAATGCCAATTGTGTTATGGCACAGTGGGTAGATGTTAATGTTTTATTGCATACGAGATTTTAATCAGTATAATGATTTAATATATTTTTAAGGGGGGTATTTGTTGTTGATTGTATGGGTGTATTTTTTAACTCTAAGCCACCTTGACAGCCTTGGCTAAAGGCGGGGTATAAATAAAGTATTATTATTATTATTATTATTTTGTGGGTTAAAATTTGATGAAGATTAAGATGAAGGTCTCTGTTGGATTCAGCCACATGGAAACCCCCAGAGAGACCTTGAGCAAGTCACACTTTCTCAGTCTTAAGAGGAAGGCAGTGGCAAATGTCCTCTGCATAAATCTGGACAAGAAACTCTATAAAACAACATGCTGAAATATGGGCACACTATGCATATGTGCCATGGTAAATATTGGGAGCTGATCTGTTATTGGAGCCAACCTTGGAATTTTTGCTTTGTTAATATCATCATGGCTGTGAATGCTAAAAATAAACATATGTGTCACCCTCAGAACATGGAAAAGGACCAGCTAAAAGGTGAAGGAAAAATGCTTCATAAACAGCATTTTTTTTAAAAAAGAGAAAACCACCAGTGAAAGCCATATACTCAAGGTTCTTTGGAGTAATTATAGAAATAGAAGTGCACCGGGGGAAAAGGGAGGGGGGACCTAAGATCGATGCTGGAACAGAGGAATTCGAACCTTGTTTGCTGTTAAACAGATCTTTGAACTTCACAGGCTGCAGACTGGCCAAAGATGGCCTAAAGTGCTAAACTAGAGATGGCAACGAAAGGCAAACATGACAAACAAGGAGAGCCTCTTTTGAAGATCACTTTTTTTGAGTGAGAGTTCTTGGCTCACATAAACATCTTCAGCTTCATTAATATGACTATAGGGAGATTTCTTATTGTTTCAGACCATTGGTCCACAATAATGTCTCCCCTAACCTTTCCCACCCCAGTGCTCTAAAGATGGTGTTGGGCTACAACTAACATCATCCCCTACCACTACACCCATGAAATGAGGATGGCTTATCTCCTCTAAACAGCAGTGCCTTTTCAAGTTCTAAAACATTTTTACTATTTGAGTACTTCTGATGTAATGATGCCAGGGGAATTGAAATAGAGTTGTTCTACACTGGAATAGAAATCATGCAGTCTTCCAGAAGATGCTGGACTGCAACTCCCACTGTTCCTCACCATTGGCTATAGAAACTGCAGTTG